ATTCCTTCACACCCCAGCCAGAATGGCAAACATCAAGAGAACAAATAACAAACATTGTCAAGAATGGTGAGGAAAGGGAAGGAGCCTGTAGAGCCTTTTAGTGAGAATGGGCATTGGTTCAGCCTCTATAGAAACTAGTAGAGACTCAAACCTAATAGAACTGCTGTAGCATCCCACCACATTATCCTTGGGAATATCTCCCAGGAATCAGAGCCACCATACAATAAAGATACTGTGTACCGTGTTTATGACAGCAGCATCCACAAGTCAATGTATAGAACTAGCCTAGGTTGCCCATCAATGAATAAATAAACTGTGTAGATACACAATGGGATATTATCCATCCACAGAAAAGAATGAAATTACATCATTTAAGGAAAAGTTAATGGAAGTGGACATCATCACATTAAATAACAGAAGTCAGACTCAGACCAGCGGTGTCTGTTTTCTCTTATATGCAGAATCTAGTTGTTTTGGAGACATGGAAGTAGGCGTGTTCTACTGGGGGACAGAGACACAGTAGGAGGGAGGGACAAATTGAAACCATGGGTCAGCTATCAGGATGCAATGGGGTCTCAGCATCACTTCTGTGTGGGAGCTCACAAGGGACTCAGTTTCCCAATTTGAATCTGAAGTCTATTCTGAGTCAATAGAGTTCAAACTTGTTTTCTCCAGGGCTGTGAGAAAGTCCTGATTAGCCCATGGGAGGGAACACACTATCTAGCTAGACTCAGGCTGCTGATGCCAGCCAGAGGTACATCGAGATAGAAAATGAAACTGCCTGCTCCTTGACTCAAGGACAGGATAGATAGTGGTTGAATGCCTGTGCTGTGCATTGTTCTACCTCTGTCCTTCAAGACTGTGTATAAGCTGGCTGTGAAATAGACTCAGGCACTGTCCGGCAGTGACTGGCAGTCCTCCCAACTCTGTTCTGTCTTCTTCATTGTCTCTACAATCTGCATGTCTCCACCCAGCTACCCAGTCGACTCACTGGTAGATCCTGACACTTCTGCAATGGTCTACATTGAAGCTCAAACCTAATCATGAGGAAAAAAATCAGACAAACCCAGACTAAGGAGAGACGACAACTAAGCCTCATGCATAATTCTCTATATAAGCCATTACTGTGCAGCGAGCAAAACCGAGTGGTGCCCGGGATTAAAATGTGTTACTTTCTTCTGTATGATCTAATATATGGTGGGAGAGAAACGCTAAAGACTTGAGATCATGGGTTGTTATTTGGTAACTATCAAATGATTCTAAAAAGAAAAAAAAAGTTCTCTGTATTATGTTTACAACCTTCCAAAAGTTTGATAATGTTTCAAAATGGAGGGAGGGAGCAGGAACAATCAAAATATTTGAGACCATGTTCTGAGGATTGGTGGGGCTCAGACATGTAAAATGTTGGGTGTGGCATCCACCATGTAGTTTCAATAAATTATTAAATAATATAGAAAGTTATTCTTTCTCTGGAGGTTCATGTGTTTCATATTTCCTACAAATTTTTTACTCCTTTGTTGCTTTTTATAGGCCCAAGTCCTCTCTCCAATGTTAGGCAAGTGTTCTACTAAGATACATCGTTAGCCCCTTTTTATTTTCTTTTGAGACAGTCCGTTGCTAAGTGTCCCAGCTGGCCCTGAGTTTACCTGCAAAGCTGGGATTACAGACAAGTTCTGCCATGCCTGGCTTTTCATTTTAAACTGGTTTGGTTTGGTTTGG